TTTTAAATTACAGTTTAATCATTTTCTGCTTTACGGTTAATCAGAGTTTAAAAACTAAACTTTCATTTACCAAGAGTTTGAAGTGCCGGTTCAAGTTTGAAAGTAATCTTTTTGGCAACGTCTTCCCTAGCTTTTATTGCTTGTTCGCCTATTTGTTTAAAAGCGTCATGGCTCACATCCATCGAAATCACTTGACCGTCAGAAGGCAGTGCCAAAGACCAGGCAACAGCAGATGCACCAGTAAACGTACCTAAAATCATTGGAAAACAAATTAACCTTAATTAGGATAAAAAAACTTTTGTTCAAATGCTCGCAAAATTAGATAAATGGTAGTTGAAGTTTAAACTAAAATCAACTGGTTGCTTACCTATGTCAAGTGCTTTTTTTGCCCTGATCAGCCTTAACAAGTTCTGCCCCAGTTGATAAACTTCAGGTGCACCTATCATTAAACCAAATGGAAGATTTCTTATTGTATCATCGGAAACCTTTTTCAGGAGAGGATCTTGTTTTATAGATAGCTATAAAAAACAGTTTTGATCACTTACTAATTTTATTGAGTTTCTTTTAATGCATTTTAAGTACTACGACCGAAGTACCGTTACACAGATAGCAAAATATGAAAAAAATAAGGTTGCAGACCTACCTCAGTACAGTATTTTGATACAGGATCGTTTTTAAAGAATGACTTGTCCAGTCCTGCTAAGCCAAATTCTGCAATTTTTTTACTGCACATTACAGAGCAATAACAGCACAAAAAATTGATAGTATTCTGTGAAAAATTTTATTATATAGAATTGAAACTAAAAAAGTGAGAAGGAATGATTAGGAAAATTGATCAATACATCAGAATCAAACTTTTTTTGCTACGTCTACCAAATATTTACACAAAGTTTAAAACAGTAATTGCGTTGAAAATATTGAAAAGGAACATTTCGTATAATTTTTTGAAAACCTGATATGTGACGGTGAAAATATTTTAGTTGTAATCTTTTGATAATTGACTTGCAAGTCAAAATAGGCAATTTATAGAAGTTATAAAAGCTTAAATTTTTAAAAATAGCAATGTAATCCTTTCAAAAAAAAAAAAAAA